ACTTCTCAAAGCAGCTCTCCCTGCCACCTCAATTGTGCATGGTGGTCGAGGGTTCTCCTCCTGCCAGAGTTCCAGAGGCTGGTTGCGAAAGTGGGCAACTGCATTGCCCCAGAGCTGTTGTGGTTCAAAAAATGAGTTCTGTGCCAGTCGCAGTGGCTCAATGCCTGTAATTCCAGCACTTTGGGAGGCCAATGTGGGCAGATCATGAGGTCAAGAGATCGAGACCATCCTGGCCAACATGATGAAACCTTGTCTCTACTAAAAATACAAAAATTAGTGAAGTGTAGTGGCACACACCTGTAGTCCCAGCTACTCAGAAGGCTGAGGCAGGAAAATTGCTTGAACCCGGGAGGTGGAGGTTGCAGTGAGCTGAGATTGTGCCACTGCTCTCCAGTCTGGCAACAGAATGAGACTTCATCTCAAAAAAAAAAAAAATTAGTTCTTGTGTGTGGTAACCTGCTCAGGGTTCCCAGCTCTTTCCCCCTTCAGCCCAGCTTCTGTGTCTTTCCTCCATCCACTCTCAGTGCCCCCTCTGAAGATCTGTTTAAAGCCTACCAGTCATCTTAGTCTCTCCATGGGAGCCATTCCACTTGTTTGAGTCTAGTCGGCCATCTTGCCCTCTCCCTCAAACACTTATCTTTTCGCTGTGTTAGGAACATTGTAATTCTATTCTAACTATTTTAAAATATATAACAAATTGTCATTAACTATAATTTTCCTACTGTACTATCAAATACTAAAACTTATTCCTTCTATCCATCTGTATTTTTGTACCCATTAATTAACTTCTCTTAATCCTCCAACTTCTTTACCAGCCTCTGGTAATCAGCATTCTATTCTCTACCTCTATGAAATCTACTTTTTTAGCTCCCACATCTAAGTGAAAATATGCAATATTTGTCTTTCTATGCCCGGATTGTTTCACTTAATGTTGTAACCTCCAGTTTCATTCACGTTGCTGCAAATGACAGGATTTAATTCCTTTTCTGAATAACATTTTATTGTGTATGTATTTTTGAATAATGTTCCATTTTTTATCCATTCATCCATTGATCCACACTTAGGTTGATTTCATATCTTGACTATTGTAAATAATGTTGCAATAAATATGGGACTGCAGATACCTCTTTGATGTACTGATTTCCTTTCCTTTGGATATATGCCCAGTGGTGGGATTTCTAGATCACATGGCAGTTCTTTTTTTAGTATTTTGAGGAACTTGCATACAGTGTTCTGTAATGCCTGTACTACTTTCCATTCTTACCAACAATATATGAGTGTTCCTTTTTTTATACATCCTCACCAACGTATTTTATTTTTTGTCTTTTTGGTAATAGCCATTCTAATTGTGGTGAGATGATATCTCATTGTGGTTTTGATTTGCATTTTTTGATGATTAATGATGTTGATAATTTTTTCATATACTTACTGTCCATTTGTATGTCTTCTTTTGAGAAATGTCTATTCATGTCTTTTTCCCATTTTTAATTTTTTTGTTTGCTATCGAGTTGTTTGAGTTCCTTATATATTCAGTTTATTAATCCCTTGTAGGATGGATAGTCTACAGATATTTTCTCCCATTCTGGAGGTTGTCTCTTCATTTTGTTCATAGTTTTCATTGCTGTGCATAAGCTTTTTTTAGCTTGTTGTAATCCCATTAGAATAGTCCCTGCAACTAACGTGAACAATATTAAATGGGAAATGTAGTTATGATTTGACAAAAGTATTGCATATATGACAAGACAGAGAATCAAGGCCTCTCTTTAGGACTGCATGCAGGCTCTTCACGATACCTTTACCCACATTGGACCACTCTTTGGCCTATACCTGAAATGGAACTTGCACATTTTCAGTAGCACCATAAGCCCCTTGGTCAGGATGGGCTGTACTCCATTCCTCACATATGACTGCCTTGAAGGTTATTCCTACTCTTAGACTAACAGTGTACTGTGGTCACTATTTGCAGAGCTCTGATAGAGCACCATATTACTGAAACAAGAAGCTCAGGTTAAAATTTTAATCTAAAGAAAGATAGACATTGTAACGTACCCAAAGATCTGGCTTTATTGATGAGAAGGGAAAGGCTCAATAAATACTGAACAACTGTTTATATCTAGATACAATATGCCAGGTGATTTACTTATATAATCTTATAGATTCTTAAAACAACTGTGGTAGGATACCGTCACCATCTCGATCTTGGATGTAAACAATCAATGTCCAAAAAAAAAAAGAAGAATTACCTTTCCTAAACTCACAGAACGTGAAACTGGGATTCAATCCCAAGTGTATCTGGCTAAAAAGTCTGTAATCTTATTCTTCTGAGGCAACAGACTTGGTTTAAATACTAGCTCTGCTACTTATTAGTTATATAGTTTTAGTTTGCTTAATCACATTACCACTCCCTCATCTGTAAATAAGTGGTGACAAATAGTTCCTGTCTCAAAAAGTTCATTATCCTCAAAACAAATGAGATAATGCATCAAATATCACTCTCTGGGGTGGGGCCCAAGCATCTGTCATTTTAAAACCTATACGAGTGATTCTAATTTACAACTAGGTTATTCTAATATATAAAACATTGTTCTAATGTGAATGAAGTGCTTAACTCAGATTATGGTACCTAGTGTGTGCTCAGAAATTGTTATTATTATTGTTGTGGTTACCATTATCTTATGGATGCCACGTCTTCTTATTCATTTTGAGTAAAGACTAATGATTAAGTATAAAATATGGAAATTCAGTGTTTCCTGTACTATCTGCTTTCATATACTTTTGAATCTCTCTACCATAAGCGATGTTGCTAAATGGCTGGAAAACATAAAAAATACTTGAACAGGGAATGGTAAGAAATGATGTTACTGTTTCCATGTAATATTATAGACAAGGTATGATCTTTATGGTCAAAACACCTAAGATTTAAGTCCTAGCTCTACCAATAGGTTGGGAATTTTTGGAGGACAAGCCACTTTGTTTAAGTGTCAATTTCCTCACATCTAAAACTGGGCTAAAATAAACAACTTTTATTTATAAATGGATTAAGAAAATAATATAGCATATTTAAAATACCTGGGAAATTTCCTGGGCACACAGTAATGATCAGTGTATGTTTCACTTTCTCATTTCTTTATTCCAGCTTCGCATGTTTACATCATTGCTTTATTAGCTTTCTCTCTGTATTTATCAATAATCTAGATCCTGAAAGTGCAGTATGGCTTCCAGGTTCACTGGAAATGGATCTGATAACTGGAATCTCAGAAAAAAGAAGCGGGGCGGGGAGGGGTTATGCCCTCTGAGGTTCAAAGGCCATTTGTCCCCTTAATATTGATTTTCTTAAATCAGATACTAGCCAAGACCCTGAGTGAAGTAATTGAATTGACAAAAGGCAGGTCTAGGTTATTAATAATGGAACAGCCTTGGACATTCTCGATGACTTAATTTAATGATAGAAGAGAGGCCTGAAACCAAAATGCCTAGAGATGGGGTAAATGGCTGGGTCTCTGGGAGAAAGGAAAACACAAGTTATCCCTCAAAGCTTATTTCATGGGACAAAGCATTTTATTATAGTCCTAAACATGAGGTCAGAGGAAATAGTTTTGATTTTCTCTTTTTTAACAAAACAAAATTTTAAAGACTTGAATAATTACCATTAAATTTATTTTTTGCCCCTGGAAAATAGACTTGTTTAGGTTTATGGAATTTTGGAATCTTAGTGATTAACTCAAGAGAAAAAATCATAGACATCTTATCAGTTTATCCCCTGAATTCAAATATCAATTCTGTCATCTACTAGTATGAATTCAATCAAGTTAGGTAACCTCTCTGAGCCATAGTTTCTACATTTATTAAATGAAGATGTTCATATTTATTTTTTATGGTTATAGGAGAATATTTCCAATGTTTAAAAAAGTATATAAAGTTACTGTCACTTGATACTATATGATACCTCACACAATAAATATTTGTTGAATAAAATGATACATGAATTTTTATGTTTTTGGTTTTTTCACTGTCCCTGGATAGAAAGGCTAGCCTGTGGTAACCTCTTGAAATCTTTTCTTCTCTCGAGGTATTCTGGCTGCTCTACCTGTAGCTCTCATCATCTCTCCTTTGGACTATTTCAGTGGTTTCAAGTATCTTTTTATCACATTTCTCTTCTCTTTCACAATCTTCCCTCCCCTCTTACCACAAAGTTGTTTGCTAAAACAAAGATCCAATCTTTTAAAATTATACTATCCTCTTGGAAAGGCATCTAGAATGTCATAATCACTCATTTTAAAGATAAGACCCAGAGATGGGGAGAGATTTACCCAAGTACCTATGGCGCTATAAACGTATACTAAGATTAGAGTTGAGCCTAGTACCCCTACTCCTAGAAGAAAATAACAAAGAGGGTACAGAAGAGGATATATATCCTCCAGTTCTAGTCAAAGGGGTTTCAAGTAGTTGTAGAATTTTTTAATTGCAATTTTGTTCTTAGTTACTATTTTTAGTGTTTTTGAACTTTAAATGTACTACTCTTACCCCGATGATAATATGATTTATTTCTATGTAAATTCTAGGTCAGTCAAGAGAAAGGGTACAGTTAATAGTAACTAAAACGTATATGACATTAATTATGTACCAAGTATGGTTCCAAATACTGTACATATATTAATTTAATTCTCATCAGAGTCCTATGAAGTAGGTACTGTTATTATTCCCATTTTTCAGATCAGGATACTGAAACAGATGTTTAGTAGCTTGGCAAGGCCACACAACTCAAAAGCAGTAGAGTTGGTACTAAAATTCAAGTTTCCAGGTTCCAGAGCTAATGCATAATTACTATGCTCAGCTGGCACAAACACATTACATTCTCATGAGCACTGTGTATTCTCACTATACAATTGGCTGCTAGTCCATATGGCTGCCTTTAACCCTGTTTCTTCTTTCCTGTCTTAATTATCAGGAAGTTGCAATTTGTATTGCATAGTCTTAAGATGAACTTCTCCCTCTTTCTTTTTCAGAGGGTCATTTTCAACATTGTTAACTTCAGTAAAACCAAGAGTCTCTATAGAGATGGGATGGCCCCTATGGTGAAATCTACCAGCAGACCAAAATGGTAAGTGATCTACAGAATGAGACTCCTTCCTGATTAGAAAATTGGTCCCAGACCCCATACGTATACGCACCTACTAATGGACCCCCCAAAAAATAAAAATAATTCTTTTAAAAAAGAAAATTTTACCCAGAGCTCAAGTTTATCTGCTGTACAGCGGGGGATCAGACTTACTGTCACTGAGAAGAATGAGGATGGGTTTCTGTATGGCCATTCTTTGGGTACTGTTCTTGAGAATGTTGGAAATATGGTCCTATGCTTGGAATGATCAGCATTCAACTATGAGAAAAGACAGTCAGTTATTTGGTAAGCTTCCTGTCCTGTTTGGCTTTTATCTTGGTATCTTTGGAAACATAAATAAAGTTGGTTCTTTTCTTTTCCTAGCCTAAGCATAGATTATGTATAATAACCTAGGAGGACATTAGGAACTACAGTTCAGTAGCTTTCTCTTGCTTTGCATGGTTTTTGTGTTTTGTGTGTGTGTATTTTAAAGTTCTATTTGTACCATTGCTATAGTGAGGAGGACGGGAGTTGGATAGGATTGGTTAATAATTGTAATAATAGTAGTAATAATATTAATAATACTAGTAATGATAACTACCCCACTTACTACAAAGCCATCTGGGTCAGATGCTTTATATTTGTTGTTACTATTTCCACATTTTTGCAATGGAACTTTTAAATGTCCGTATATTACAGATGAAAAAATTGAGGCAAGGAAAAGTTAAGTACTTTATTAAGACCATAAAGAGTAAGAGAGTGCCTTGTGTTATTTATGTTACCCCATAATACCTTTTCAACCAATTCATTCATTCATTTATTCATTCAACAAACATTGATTGAGTACAACAAAATGAAAGACTTCAAAGACAAAAACCTAGTATTATTAATCTATTCATCTATCACACAGTAGGTGTTAAGTGAATGCCTGTTAAAATGAACTGAATTTGTTATGAGAATTTACATGCAAAGTGCCTGGCACTTACTAAGTGCTCAACAAATGGCATCTATCATTAATAGTATTATATAAAACCCTATACAAATGCAAGGAATTGTTAATATTGTTATAGCTTTGATCTCTGTTCAAATATTAATGACTAGTGAGAAGATAGTCTCCGAATGTCTATATTTATAGAAAACTAGCAATTCATAAATATTGAATTGTGCTTTTATCTCCAAATGATACTTGGCAATTTTCTATAAATGTTGGGCTGAGAAGCTCAGGTTTATAAAAGTAGAGGCATTTGATGACAATAATAAAAACTGTTTATGAAAGGTAAAAATATCTCCTTGGGCATGATTTTTTGCTTTCCTGTGTCAAATCAACTAATCTGTTGCTCCTTCTCTCAGTCTTTCTGGGCAAGGGATAGGCCTTTGCTTTGAGTCTCTGGTTCCAGCCCAAGTAGATAATAATAGAAATCATTTCTCTTTTAATAGGCATATATATAGATGATTACTTTAAACCTTGCAAGTAAAAGGACATCACTGTTGATTTGCTCATGAGGGCCTTCAAAATGACATTGTGTATCTTTTTCCATATTATGTGTTGGGATCTTGTACAGCAACAATAATCACCATCCATTTTTTCCAAGTGTTAAGTTCTGGAGTTCTTTTTTGTGCTTTTGAAGATGCATAAGCCTTAATTATTTCACTTTGCTTCTTTTTTTCTCATGAACTGTGTTGTGTCTTCTCTGCTAGGGCTCTTGACAAGATTTTGAAATAATGGGTCCTTGCATTTGGATTATGATGCTTTAGAATTAAGTTGGTGCTCTTACGCAATATTGGCAGGCACTCAGCAGCAGCCATTGTCCAGTCATTGGACTCCTCTACTGGTTTGAACAAGCCTAAAGTTTCAGAATTGAGTTTGTTGTAGTTTATTAAGCCACTTAGGCATAAGGTACCATAACACATCACATTGTTTGTATATGTAATATCTCCTATTTTTTACCTTGCCATCCCCAGAACTTGGATACAAAGCAACTTACATTGCTTCAGAGTTTCCTGTCCTCAAGCCAGATGTTTAGATTTTTTTTTAACTTCATAGGACTTCATTGAGCACCTTCATGTGCTATGCACTGTTCTAGATATTGGGATACAGGATGAATATGCTATAAAAGATCTGTTCCAAAAGGGAATTTTATGTTTAGAATTTTTATTAACTAATCTGTGCAAATCATAATTGTTATTCTCCTTGCTACATTCTTTGAACATCCTTTCTTTCTTCCATCTTGGTGCCCTGTGTCTAGGAGTTTCTTTTATGCTTTGAGTCGGTTACCTACACCTGAACCTATCTCCCAGCAGCCATTATCATAAATATTCCCAGGGTTTGATAAGGAAGTGGCTATGGGCTTTCAGAATATTAGATTTTGTTGGCTCCAAGGAGTCTATCCTAATTTAGGAATCTCAGCAATGGCCTAACTCAAACCTGAAAAATACCTTGTAGATCTCAAATTTATAGTATCTTCTCCAGTGTCTTTCTAATTCTAGCTTTCCCAAAACCAAGGCAAACACTATAACAAAAAAAGTTTGTAATACTTTCCTTGGGTATTACCTCCTTTGATATTCCAAATAAGTCATGGAAAAATTCCTACTTCAGGATAAACACTAGAAATCTGAAATTTCCTGGATATTTTATATATATATATAAAATTTGGAATATACACATATGTATGTGTGTGTGTATATATTTATACATACATGTGTGTATACATGTGTGTGTATATATGTGTATTTACATATATATATGGAAAACACCCTTTTTTCACCTTTTCAGGGTGAACAAACATTCTTCTTCACCTCTTATAGGGGGCTGTAACAGGTACCAAGGCCTTCAAGTCTTAGCATACACTGGTAGTTAATTAGTTATAGAAAGCCAATCAACATGAGATACAACTGGCAAACCATTATATAAATGTGTGGCCACTCAAGGCTGTTCTGCCTTGAGGAGACATCTAGCAGCTGGAAGATTCAGCTTCTAGAATGAAGCTGAATTTCATTCTAGCTTCATTGGAGCCAAAGATGAAGCTCCAGTGAAGAGCTTCATCTTCACTGGAGAAGCTGGAAGATTCAGAAGTTTTCTGCCTGTTTTAGTTCACTCCTATTTTATTTACATATTAGACTTCTTAAGGATTGTGGTTAGGGCTCTGTAGTATCAGGTTTCTGATGGTCATAACTTATTAATATTTCTTAACAGTGTCCAAGACTCATAAATCATTAATATTTCTTAAGAGTGTTCATTGCTATGTGGTAGACACTGCTAGGAACTGGCATTGCGAGACAACTGGGAACTGTATCTTCACCTCTGCAGAAACTGAGGCTGGGAGTATTTATGTAACTAGTAAGTGTCAGCACCAGCTAGAAACCACATAAGTCCAAGTTTACTGTTCCTCTCATATTCCATGCATGGGGATGTTGGAAGAAGGAGACAAAAAGAAGCAAGGAGTAGCATGCTATTGTGTGGCCTTTGGATAATCTGAAATAACTTACTGAATTGGCTTTTTCATTATAGTAGATCAAAAAGATTGGACTAGATCTTAGAGATGGCCTCCATTTAACATATTTTTATTGATCATCTACTCTGTGCTAGATCCTGTGGTGATTAATATCAGGATGATTAGGATTCTTTCTTTAAAGATTTTACTTTTTTAGAGGTTGAAATGAAACACAAAAATAGGTACAATGTAGAGAACATTGTGCTAAGAATCATTAGCACATAAAGCATGCAGTGGGATTACAGAAGATGAAGAAAATTATACTATTAATGCCGTGACGAGAAAAGGAGACATGCTAAGGAGCAGGTGATATTTCAGCTATATCTCAAGGAATGGAAAGTGAATAAAATTAAGGAAATTAGATTTCAGGTGGAAGAAAAAACATGATGAGACATACTACCTCTTTCATTAGCCCGCTTTCTCGCTGTAAAAAGTACATAATAATACTTCCTCCCAGTGTTGTTATAAGAAACAAATGTGAAATGAATGTGTAAATACTTTTTAAAGTCTGAAGCATGTTATTAAACAAATTTCCTGGTTTTTTCCTTTCTTGTAATTCACCCAAGACTGACTATTATTTGTTCTTTTTCTCCCTCCTCTCTTTCTTCCCTCCTGCTTATCAATAAATGCTTACTGAGTGGTTAAAATGAACCAGGAACTATGCAAGGCATTAAAACATAGCAGTGACAAGACAGATGTTTCATTGTCTCGTACCATATAGTCTACTATGCTAAACATTAAATATGTAACTCTAGTAGATAACTGTTTTAATGAGAACTTCGTAGTAACAGTTATAATTTAAATGCTACATAGCATTTAAGACTTCATATACACCAATGATAAGAGACCTTCCTTAGGAAGTATTGTCTATACTGAGAGCTGAAACAGAATGTGTTTGAAGGCCAAAAAAGTGAGAGAGGACATTTTATCTTTGATGAGAAAAGGCCAACATTACTGAAGCATTACATTCTGAGGAGAAAGTGATTGGAGAGATGATTGAGGTGAGCCTTATAAAATCAAGCTAAAGAGTAGGACTTGATTATAATGACAATGGAAATAAATTAAAAGGATTAAATGGGGGCAGGACATGATCAGATTGAAAGTTAAGAAAGATCAATCTTGCTGAATGGGGAATATTTTGGAGAGGATGAAAAGTATTTGGGTGTTTTTGCAATATACCTTAGGCTACAGCTAATGATGGATTGGGGTGGTAACAGTAGTGATAAAACAGTGGATGGTTTTCAGGGATAATGGAAGATTGAATCAATTTAAGTTTGTGGTTGACTAGATGTGGAGAGTAAAAGAGAGGGAGGAGTCCTGGATGGTTCCCAGATTTTCTGGCATGAGCAACAGAAGGGATGATATCATTTACTGAAGGTAGGGACCACAGGAGGAGAAACAGTTTAGGCAGATTTGGCTGGATAGGGGAGATGATGAGTTTAGCCTGGGAAACATTAAGCGAGAAGTGCCTGGAAAACATCCAAGCAGAGATGTCAGGTAGGCAGAACGGTA